AGAATGCATGTCTAGTAAATGCTACAATCTCCTTTTATTTCTGAGTGATCTACGGGAATGAGATTTCTCCTTTTGAGAAACAAAGTTTGGATGTTTTATGGTACAAAAATTCCAAATTGCACCTTTGCTGCTGGATGCTGAAGACTTCTTGCGCTCTGCGATTTATTGTTGAAAGAAGGTGTCATTGTTTCCGGTGGGATGGAATTGTGTTGCTTCACAATGTCTAGTGACTATGCTATGTTTTGGCTCTATGAGGAAAACAGTGTTGATAACTCATTGATGTTTCTAGTTGTTGCTGAGCTGCGCTGCACAGAGCTGAGGACCCCTCAGTCTGTCCCACTGTGCTACTGATGAGGAGCAAGAAAAGGAGCTGAGAGGCACAGGGTGCCCAAGGAGCTGGCCAAGGCGATATTCCTTGCAGAAGGAGAGTTTGCAAAGGAGGAGGAGTTAATCTCTGGCTCTCTCTTCAAGTGCTTGGAGACTTGCCGGGCACCTGTTGGTGGGTGGTGAGCGATTAACTGCTTGTGCATCGCTTGTTACGTACATATGTATGTATGTCATAATTATTTTCCTGCTCCTTTTCTCCATCTTTGTACATAGTTTTATTTTCACCCATGAGTTCTACTTTTTCTTTTTTTTTTTTAATTCTCTCCCCCATCCCATTTGAACAACATTTCCAACTGCTTGAAGTGTGTTCTGTTTAAGTCTTTTTCATTGTAAAAGTGATGTCTTGGTGTCACTGCATGCCAGATGGGGGAGAATGAAAATACTGGGGAAAAAAGTGGAAAAGGACAGGTGTACTATCTATTAAGGGGAAGTATTGTACCTCATGAGCAGGTACAGCTCAGAGACCTCATTGAACGTGGGTAATTTTGACCATATCTGGGGAAAGCTGTTCAGTAATGCTTTCATGTGCCTGTGGTTAACCAAGAAAGATGTAGGTATTCTTCTCTGCTGCTGTTTGAAGCGTTCTAGCCTGGAGTACACATTTCAGAGTCTTCTCTATCCCTCAAGTCCCAACTACAGCTCGAACAGGTAATATTGAGGCAGAGGAGGCCTCTGCAGCGGGGTGCTGTGATCTCCTGGGCTCCCCGTGCCACGAAACGGCAGGATAAGGGTCGCCGGGTCCCCGGAGGGGGGGAACTGGCAGAGGGGCTGCCCCTGCCACCCCAGGCTGCCCCTCGAGGCGCAGCAGGCGCATGCAGGCCTGCCTTCTGCTTCTCAAGCGAGAAATCACAGCGCGAGAGCAAGATCCTGCTAAACGCCGCTTTGCGAGCAGCCATCGCTGCACGTGAGTGAGGCGGCGGTTGAGACGTGCGGCCCCTTTGGCGGCGTCGGCGGTTTGCGGTTGCCTAGCGACCTGCGGGAGCGACCGTGCTCGGCGGGGGTCCGTTTCTTTCCCGTAAGACGGCGTTTGCTGAAGCTCGGGCGGTATTTCAGGGCGGGCTTTCCCCTGTTTGGAACAGCTGCCCGTCGTGCTTGCAAGCTGTAGGGAGAGGGAAGGGAACGCCTGGCCCGTTCCCTTCAGCGTGACTTTCGGCGATGTCTGCCTAGCCCTGTCCGACTCGGTAGCTGCGTTTTGCTGGTCGGGTAGGAGGGCTGAGCTGTGTGTTGCTCCATCCCGGCTTTTTGTGCTGCTCGCGGAGATCAAAAACGTGACTGCTGTCAGCGAGCGAAGGGCCGTGCCCCAGCGCTGGTCCCATCGGCCGCTTTAACCGCTGAAGTTCATCAAACGTTTCCTATTCCCTATTAGCACTTACGGACACTGTATGTGCGCTGCTGGAGCTTGGCGTGAGGGTGTAGGGTTGTAAGGCGGCTGAATCGCTGTCCAAGCTGTAGGAAGCCGGGCAGCACCAAGTGTTAGAGTGCTTTTTGCCGTGATAGATGAGTGATATCCTGACAAGCTATTTCAGAGGGCAAATATAAACTGCAAAGATGGCACCTGTAGTATCAGAGGAAGAAGTAGCAGGAGAATGAAGTGTGGGCAAAATACGCGGGTATTTGTATGTCAGATGTGCGTCTTAAGGGTTATTTGGGTGTCCTGTCACGCTGAATCAATTACACTTTCCTTTTCTGTAGCAGATCACTGCTGAGACTGAGATGCACTGAAGGAGTTAAATTGCGGATTTAAAAGCCAGCAGTTGTACTCTGGCATGAGGTTTTCTGATGTTTAGTATCCTCTTAATACCAAAGCTACCTGTTAGACTTCACAGTGCCTCTGAGTCCTGCCTTGTGTAAAACTGCATCGGGTTATCCTTTTTCATACCAACGATTGATTAGGTGCCACAGGGATAAGCCATTGCAATGTTCTATTGTGATAAGCTTTTATTCCAAAAGGAGACTCGAACTGCAAAATGAGATGATGGGAAAGGTTATGTGGAGCGGGCCTGCTTTTACTAAATGGTATCTGTGACTATTTCCATCAGCCATCATGGCTCTAGCAAGGCTGTGCTACATGCAAAAGGCTTTTTCCCGATGGGCGGTTGTGGTGTGATTTAGTCTGACAGGCCGCTCGGCACCACAGGGTTTGCTCCTTGTAGGGAGATGCAGGGGAGAATAGGAAAAAGGTTACGCTTGTGGGTTTGAGATAAAGAAAGTTGAGTAGAACAGAAAAGGAAGACGAAGCAAGAGTCAGTCCACACACACAAAGCAAACTGCAGATATCACTTAGTCTCATA